TATATATATATTTTAATTGTAGCATTCACATCTGATCATTCAATTATAATTTAAGAAACCGAAAACCCGTGTATGCAGTCTACTTCTTTTTGTAGCATTTGCATTATGGATATCCAATTTATGCTGGTCTAATGCGCCGAAGGGAAGCAAAGACCATAAAAAAAGAAAAGTAGAGAAGAAGAAGAAGATATCCAATAATAATAGTTAGTATAGTAATAATAATAGAGAAGTTGAAAATACAAATATATACGGCCTACGTGCTTTCGTACCACTCACATTATTGATATACAATCATAGTTCACAGAGTTTGAAAAGACAGAACTATGGAGAAAAATTATTCGTTACACAAACGAATTATCATTTTATACTTCAATTTTTCACTTTTTCGTTTTTTATGAAATGAAGCGAAATCTCTTCAAATTGCTACGGTGCATCAGGACTGTAAAAATGGTCTGATGCTTTAATAACGTGATGCGAACCATTTCAATTGACTCAATTATCGCATGGCAGTGAGTAATTGAAAATGATGGCCATAAACTATTCGCTGATCAAAGTGATAAGTGCGACCAAGGTAACGGAATATAAAAGTGCCGGGAGATACAGCAGATGAAATGAAAACGGTTAGTTTCATCATTAAATTTTTCAATCGTTTGTTCATAGTGGTAAATTCAAAATTTTTTGTTAAATAATTGGTATAAACAGGTTATTATTGTTTAGGAACAAATTGTGTTTCTAAATAGCGAAAAGGCCGAGTTTTATTTTTCACAATAATCATTACTCGGGAAATGTTAAAACCAAACGTTGGTATCTCCTTGAACAATTCTTCTTCAATGCACTAAAAAAATAATTGAAATGCTGTTGCATAAATTTCTAGTTTCTTGCAACCAATTTGGAAGTGTTGATGGTTTTATTGAGGGCGGTTCATTGATGTTTGAGCATTCTGGCGTTTATCATTCATTCACCTACTTCTGTGATTGTGAAAGAATAACAATTCACGGAGAATTAGTGGCTTCGACGAAAAACCATATCAAATGATGAAAGTATGGGATAAAAAGAACTATTTTTCCTGCTTCTGACCCCTTGACACTGCGAACTTAATCCCATTGAACTCGTTTGGGCTGAAGTAAAGGGTTTTGTTGCTAGAAGAAACATGATATTCAAAATAAATAAAACTGCAGGTAATGAAACAAATCGAACGCCCATAAAATTTTTTGTTTGCGATACAAAAATAATGTGAACCCAGCAAAGTATTATAAACCCGCCTATGACTGAGCATTGTATTACTTTTTACTTTAGGAAACAGAGTATTTAAAAAAATTTAAAGTTCTGCTACTGGACGTATAAAAAATACCTTCATGAATTTCCTCTGTGACGAAACATGGACAAATGTCTATCTAGGGAAGTAGTTGTCTTCTGTAAGGCATTTATTTTCCATATCATACTGTGTGAAAATGTCAGTGACAAAACTTTGGTTTTTCACCTTCTAACCGCCTCCAATAACATTTAAAAGTATTGTCATTGCCTGATCCAATGTAGCCACTGGATTATTGTGAAAGTTCCCCAGGAGGGCATTAATCGATTATTTATCTATTATGTAAATGTTAGTTGTGTTATATCAGAATGTATGAAATTCGATGTAAAAGTTGATGTATTTTTACGCGATTTTGGATTATCTCAACTTATTTTATTAAAGTAAAAGTTCTTTACGCGCTCTCGACTTTGGGAATAAGCTGATGAATTCGTGACGTGAGCGTTACGAAAAGTGTGATTGGACGAGGCGAACAGTAGTTGATACGGAAGTATTTTGTATTGATTTGGATATAGAAATATGTGGCAATGAGGTTTGGGGTGTACACGTTGTTAGTTTTTATAGATTTTGTAATGGAAATTTTGATAGTTTTATGAATACATTCGATGCTTGTCTGCAAAAGATACTGAAGAAAAAAAGTAAAGTGATACTTCTCGGTGATTTCAATATAAATTTTTCATCAACAACACGTTATTGTTCTGAACTAACAAATTTATTCGAATCTTTTGATTTGACTATCACAATCAAGGAACCCACAAGAATTTCCCTAGACACTGCTACCTGCATAGATAATATCATAACTAATATTCCTGATGACCTTTTTGTGACGGGTGCTCTTGAACCCTCTCTATCGGATCACTTGGGACAATACATGCTGAGTGAATTTACAGTTACATCAAAAAAAGACGCAATTTATAAAAGATTTATTTCTGACTGGAGTATTTTCGAAAACACGGATCGTTCTCCGGATGCTTTGGGTGAACTTCTTGTGGAGGTCTTGAATACCTATGTAGTCGAGATGTTTCCTTTGAGGAGGGCGAGACATCATCGCGATCAAAGACCTCCAGTCAGTTGGTTCGGTGATGAATTGCGCTATAACAGGGAAATCCTCTCGAACATCAGGGTTGTCCAAAACGCTAGAAAAGATTTGGTAACCGAAAAATCTTCAAAACATTACCCAAAGATTACAAAAAGTCTATACAACTGGCAAAACAAGAATCGTATGCAAGTTTTTTGGCATGTTTTCCAAATATCAGTAGAGATACTTGGAGGATCATCAATTATGAATGTAATAGGAGACCTTCAAGGAAGGTTGATACACCGCATTCGGAGAACGACCTCAATGATTATTTTGTTGACATTGTAGATTATCTCATTTCATCTCTTCCTGAAGTAAATTATGAAGCGACATATTTCTTGAAATATCTTAAAACACCAGTTAACTCCTTCGTATTGTTTCCCACGCCCCGAGAGAAGTAATGGAAAGTATCCAGTCTCTCAAGAACTCCAATTGTTCGGACTTTTTTGAACTTAACAGTGGGATCATCAAAAGTATTCCCAATATGATTGCATACCCATTATCTCTATTAATAAATGAATGTTTTTCTCATGGGGTTTTTCCTGATATATTAAAAAAATCTGTAGTCCTACCTCTTTTTAAAAAAGGAGACCTCATATTATTGACAACTTTCGACCTATTTCAATAATACCTATACTTGGAAAAGTTAGCGAGGTAATTGTCAAAAGCAGATTAATAGCATACTTAGAAGCTAATTCTCTTTTCTGCCCTGGACAATTTGCGTATAGAAAGGGTAAGTCCACAATCAATGCTCTTTTGAATATCATATCCAGTATAGTGATAGGTTTTGAGGAGGGCAGACATTCATTCATAACGTTGTGCGATCTATCGAAGGCATTTGATTGTGTTTCGCATAATATTCTGCCCAAAAAAATTTCCTATTATGGTATCCGTGGACTGTCCCTTAAATTCTTTGAATCCTATTTGCACGATAGATCACAGTGTGTATCATTACATGGGATTAAATCGAATGTGAAATCTGTCAAACATGGTGTATCCCAGGGTTCTGTACCGGGACCAATCTTGTTTGTACTATATATAAATGACCAATACTACCATATACTTCCTAAAAAATGTTTTCTTTTTGCGGATGATACCACTTTGGTGGACTGTCACGGTAGTGTTAATGATTTGAGTGTTTCTGCCAACGCCACCATGAAGTCTGCAAGTAACTGGTTTGTTTCAAATAGACTTCTCCTTAATGAGGCTAAAAATCAAAATCTTATAATTTCCAAAAATACGTATTTAACCTCGGGTAAAAGTGGGGATCCATATAGACGACAGATTGAACTGGTCATGTCATGTTGACAAACTGGCTAAGAAATTATCAAGTATAATATTTATGATTCGTAGACTGAAGGATTTCGTCGGTATCAGAGCGGTCAGATCTTCGTACTTCGGACTCTTCCATAGTCACATGGTATATGGCATAGTGTTGTGGGGGGATTCTTGTCATTCCAAAAAAAATGTATATTGAAAAAAAGAGTTATACGTCTAATATATAATGCCAACTTTAAATATCATTGTCGCCCACTTTTTATTCATCTCAAAATTATGCCGCTTCCTACAGCTTTTGTATATGAAACATTGATTGAAATTCATAAAAATAAATCAAAATACATTCTACAATCGCAACAACATGAATATCCTACAAGATCAGGAAGTCTGATAAGAACTGAGAGATTCAGACTGAGCACCTCACAAAATAATTCATTGAATTTGAAATTCTATAATAAGTTACCATGTCACATAAAACAACTCAGTTTCTACTGTTTCAAGCAAAAACTGAAATCATTTTTTTTTGAATCACTGTTTTTATTCTACAGATGAATACATGTTATACAACATAGATAATTCATGTGACTGAGTAAGTAAGAATTGTTCTCATTTTTAACATTAGTTGATTGATTGTTTTTATTATTATGTACACTGTTCTGTTATACAAGTATGTACACTGTTCTGTTATACAAGCTTTGTGATAGTTTTATTTTACTCTGATGAATTAGGAGTATCATTAACAATTAATGTAGTTGTTTCGCAAACCCGATAAAAGTTTCAAGGGGTTGCGAAATATATGCGCTATTAGTATGTTTCGAATGATTTGGAATAATTCTTTATCTAGTTCATATCTGGCGCGTGCAGAAAGTATTCAAAACTAGATAGCAAATTTCTGTGCTAATTACTGTGCTAATCTGAAAATTATTTTCAAATGCTGTTCAGATAAGTAACTCATGCAAAAATCATAGGAAACTAAGGTCACGTATGATTTCAGACGAGTTAATTGCCAATTTTAAGCATACGTTTGCTAAATAATGTTGAGTATTTCTTCATTAGCCCAAAAAATGTTACTAAGAACCGAGTATATTATAATTGAGGGCATAAATTGAAAAAATAACTATATATATATAATTTTTCATGAAATAGCGCCAAAATAGATGGGAGTTAGTAATAGTAAAATATTCAGGAAGCATATAAAATTTTAAACCTGAAATTCTATCAGGAGTGGACTCTAAAATCGTGCGTGCAGTTCATGTGAACTAGGAAGATATAAAATTTAATGATGCCACTGGAATTAAGGAATGACAATTAAGCACACAGTAAGTCACGCTGTTATTTCGGAGGAGCTTTTCAGATTATGATTGAGTCTTTGGAAAAAAGTCCAAAACTGTTTCTTAGTTGATAAAAAATAATAATCAAGGATCCAGTGCGGCCGTAGAAAGTTTCCCGTCCCTATCAACTTTTGAACGGGACTAGCTGTCAAGGTCGGATAAAATTTATGCAAGAAATTGCCATTTTTAGTACTTTTTGGCGAAAAAAAAATCAATAGTGTGACGTCATTGTCGCCAAGAGAAAGAATCTTGCCTGGACAAATCTTGGTGCCTTCGTGGACTCAATTATCACTCACCTCACGGTGAGGGGAATGGTTATTGGTTGGCAATGCCGGTTGGCCCCTTTCTTTGGCCCCTTTCTTGGCGCAGCTATGCATAGATTCAATGTGCACCAATTGAAAATAATAGATTCAAATAAATAGTTAGAATAAATTAGAATTATACTGAAAGTTTAACCCGGTGTGTGGTTAAGATGAAAATACATAATGAGTAATTTTTTTGCTGGTATCTTTGTGGCAACACTGTTTTCGACAGATCGTGTATTGTGTCATTATCAGAATTGTTCAGTTTGGTCTATAATTTAACCATAAATCGACTTACGAATGAACAACGCTTGCAAATTAT